CCAACGTGCACGGCGTCCCTAACCACCGCCCACCTGCAGGGGGCGCCACTGACCACCTCCCACCCGAGCCAGGGGCCCACGAGGCTCCCACGCGAGCCCCTGGTGGCCTCCTCACATTAACTTTAATGTCCCCCATTTCCCTGTGACTCAGGCGGCACGTGGCGCGGGTGGCGTTTTCCTGGCAGCTCCAACGGAGCGTCATCGTCCGCGGGTCAAACTCCAGGTCCAGGCCGGGGGTGGGCGACGCCGGCGATGGCGCATCTGCAGGGGAGGCCCACAAGTCAGAGTGACCTTGCCCCACGTCCCCCCGCCCCCGCGCACACACTCTGCGCCTGCCAGGTGACCACGGCCAGGGCTGGTCCCCCAGGCCTGGACACTGCCGTGTCCTCAGGCGTCCCCGCGCCCTGGACCTCCCTGCCCTCCCCCAGAGGTCAGGAGAAGTCCCCAGAAGGAAGCCAGCGCAGGACAGCGGCTCAGTGACCGGCTGGGACACGCAGGTCACCCCTGGGAAGGACCCTCTGACGTCCCCTGAGGCAGGGCTCGGTGGCCTCCTGTTCCTTGACCCTGCCTGGATGTGTGTCCTGTTGCGCAGGCGCAGCTGGACAGACCCCCCTCACCCTCGGGTTCTGCAAAAGCCACTCTGGTGCGGAAGTGGGGACCCGGCCTCATGATAAAGTGTCCCCAAGGGGTAGGTGTCCACCCAGCGGGTCGCTGAGCCCTCCTTTTGCAGCCGGGTCCGGGCGGGGGATCCGAAGGCCACCAGCCCCACCTACTGGCCAGAGGTGGGGACGTCCTCCCCGTCCATCTTTCCAAACCCTGCAGCAACCGCGACTGGGCTGCCGCTAGGGGTCACCAGGTCACCAAGGCAGGTAGGGGACAGATGAAGCTGCATCCCCAGACACCTAAACGGGAGCCCAAGGAAAAGGGACAGTCACGTCCCCGCACTCACCCGTCAGCTCCTGGGTCACGAGGGAGGACTGTCCCGGCAACGCGGAGAGGACAAGGACGCAGACGGCCAGCAGCAGGCTCTCGGGGCCGCCCGAGGGAGCGCAGAGCACTGGGGAGACAAAGCCGCAGGGTGAGGAACGTGCTGCACTTCGATTTTTTTTTTTTTGTTTTTGTTTTTTTAGTGCTAAGTTGATTTTCCTCGGGTTGTTTGTCACAGTAACAGAAAGAGCGAAAACTCAGGTCACGGCTGATCGCCGACGGTGTGTGGGAGCATCATCCCCTGCCCACGTGGGGTCGGGACATGGAGGTCTCTGGGGACAGTACTCTGTGTCCCTCCCGGGTGGGTGGCTTCTCCTTTCCTCAGCATCCTCTTTCCAGGAAGCAGAAATAGCAAAGGTCAGGCCGAGCTCACCGGGTGGGGCTCCTGCCCCCTTGGTATCCCTCCGCCGCCCTGGTCTGGCCCGAAGCTCCACATCCAGGCGGACCTGGGAGCCCCGAGGACCCCGGCTTTTCTTTAGACTTTTTCAGGTTTTAAAGGATTTTTCCCCTTCGCACAAGACAAAGTGAAAGAAATCCTACGGGATCCAAACTGGGAGGCCGAGGCCGGAGGATCGAGGGTTCAAAGCCAGCCTCAGCCAAAGGGAGGCCCTAAGCAGCTCAGGGAGACCCTGTCCCTAAATCAAATGCAAAATAGGGCTGGGGACGGGGCTCAGGGGTCGAGGGTCCAGGAGGTCCATCCCTGGTACCAAAAAAATATGATTTTATTTCACAGAATAATCCAGAGAGAGGACTCGGCCCATTTTTCAGAGAGAAAACGTATAAAATCACTCAGTTTTCACATAAAATATTAAATAAAAACTACGGGTGCCGACTGGGCACGGTGAGGCGCACCTGTAATCCCGGGGACTCAGGAGGCTGAGGCAGGAGGATTGCAAATTGGAGGCCAGCCTCAGCAACTCAGCAAGACCCTGTCTCAAAATTTAAATAAATGAAGACATAAAAGGGGCTGGGGACGAGGCCCGGTGGCTCAGCACCCGGGGTACAAACCACGGGAAAGCGTCAGCCCCCAGGGTGGCCGGACCCCAGGCCCTGCCCCTCCATGCAGAGGGCCCCTGGGGTCAGCAGGAGCCGCTGTCCAGCCTGACCCCGTCCGCGCCCAGCCCTGCACCCACACCCCGGCCGACGCCTGTGACCCTCTCTTTTTTTTTTTTTGAGTTTCATCATATAGAAAAGAGTAACTGAAAGAGAAAAGGGGAACAAGTGGGTGACCCCGGGGACGGGACTGTCAGCCGCACACACGCTCACGGCGGAGGGAGAGCAGCCGGTGGCAGGGCGGCTCGTGGGCAGACTGCAAGGTGGACCGGGCGGCCAGAGGCGGGCCTGGCTCAGGGTGCAGCTGCTGGACGCCCTTGGAGAGCTCTGTCCCTCCGCTGCCCCTCCCCCTGCTGACCCCGGTGTCCACGCAGCTTCTCCCTGCAGCCCAGCTGACCCTCAGTGTCCAGGCCCGCCCGTCCTCACCCGCTGGACACTCACCGGGGACCTGCCCAGCGTCCAGCCCGTCCATCCCGCCACCCCTCACACCCGCAGGTCACCTGTCCCCCCAGCGCTCCCCGGGACGCCCTCCCTCTCGACCCGTCCTCCACGAAGGGAGAGGCTCAGCTCCACACTCCGAGGCCCCTTCTCCCTGGACCTTGGCAGATTCACCCGTCTCTGGAGGTGGCCATGTCCATCCCAGCTGGGGACACCGTCCAGGACAAGGACTGAGTGAGGTCCCCAGGCACAGCTCAGCGAGATTCCCGTCCCAGCCTCCTAAGGAGGCCTCCTCCTTCCCAGAGAAGCCGGTGGTCGATGGCCGGGCTCTGTCCCTCTGGACACGGGCTGCTTTCCCTCCAGGGTGTCCCAGGGACACCTGGGGTGACACATCGGCAGACCTTCTGCTCCTTTTTCTCTTAACCCATCTCCTGGACGCAGGCGACCGGCCAGCACCCCGCCCCCCTGGCTGGGCGGCAGGGGAGGCCATCGCCCCAGGGTTGGAGCCTAAGCAGGTGCCGGGAGCCGGGCACCTTCTCAGAAGCCGTTGACACATGGCGGAACTTTGTCACCGGCCGCAGGGTTCCCCATTCTGCTTCCCTTTCACGGAGCTTCCCCTTCCTCTATGACGCCGCCGAGTCCAGACGGAGAAAGACCAGGAACCGGCTGGAACTTGACCTTGAAGACCCCGCGACCCTGCACCCTATCCGTTCGGGGGGCCGTCCTCGCCTGGGCGGCTGCGTGGCCTTATTTCGCGGGTCCCGTTTGTGCCCCGATTGTTCTTTAACGCCCTGGTCCCCTCCCGGGCCCTGGAGACCCCGAAACCACTTTCCCCCCTGTCTCTGGGGATTTTCTGGGTGGGACCTTGAAGGACTGCAATCAGAGGATGTTCGGCCTCCGGCGGCCACTCTGGCTGTGGGCTGGGCATGGTGTGTCCCCTTTGGTCCCTGTCCTGGAATATAGGATGCAGGTGACCCTGAGTGGACGGGCGGCAGGACCCCCGGTTACATCCCGGGGACCTCAGTCTCTGGGGACGGCATCGGGTTCCACGAAACCGTCTCAGCTGCCGCCGCAAGAGCTTCTCATGACCCGGGGCCATGTCCTTTCATCGGGACATTCCTGCGTGCACCTCTGCCCACTGGGGCACCTGCTGCCCGCCAACTGTCCCGTCCAGCCCAGCGGGACAGAGAAGGAAGCCCGTGCCAGGAGGAGCCGGCCAGCCCGGACGCAGCTGAACCTCTCTGCCCTGTGAAGTGGCCAGTCTCGGGCACGTTGTCATAGTCACACAAGAGGTGCCAACAGCTGTCACCCCACTGTCCCTCCTTCTGGCCCTGGCTCAAGAGCAGATGGGGACCCTGGATCACAGCAGATGACAAGACCCAGCACGGGCCCTGGGACCTGGGCTCCCGGGGTCTGCAGGTGACCACCTGAGGCTGGCCTTGGGTGACTTACTGGACAGACACGCCGGTGTCCCCAGATGACACCTCCCAGCGCCGCCCGGTCCATCTCCTCATCTGAGGCGGACCTCAGAGTGCAGAGCCCAGGCGCCGGTGACACTCCTCCCGGTCACCCCCGGCCGTCCCCGTCCCTTCACCGGCCGTCCCCATCGCCCACCCTCAGCTCCACGCTGACCCTCAGCCACAAAGTGCACAGAGGGGACTTGGCAGTTGGCAAGTCCACGGAGCCAAGGGACCTCCTCGCCCCGCCACCCTGGGATCCCGGCCTCCCTGCCTCCCGGCCTCCCGGCCTCCCGGCCTCCCGGCCTCCCGGCCTCCCGGCCTCCCTGCCTCCCGGCCTCCCGGCCTCCCAGCCTCCCTGCCTCCCGGCCTCCGTCCTTACTTGTGGGTCCCGGGCTCCAGCCTCAGGCCGCCATCTTGAAGTGCCACCTCCCTCTGCAGCCTGTGAGCCCCCGACGTCGTCACCCGCCGACTCACGTCCTGGGCCCAGGGCTTCCCGTTTCTGGCTGGGTCCCTCCCGTCCCCCCCTCTGGGTTCCTCATTTCAGGATGGGGCAGGCGTGGTCACTGGTTGTCACTGTCACCCTGGGAACACCCAGAGGCACCGTGGGCTCAGGGGCACGGCCAGGCGCCAGGTGACAGCTCCTCCTGCAGCCCGAGGGCCCACTGCCTTAGGTCCCTGCTGAGCCCTGGGGACACAGGGCAGTGGCTTCTTGTCCTCAGTTGATCATGGACCAAGGGACGATGTCAGAAGGGACTTGGCCCCTCCTGGTCACCTCCTTGGTCATCTTCAAGAGACAGGCGAGGGCTGGACGGGGCTTTGCCATCAGCTGATGACCACCTCGGTCCTAAGTGTCCCTCGCTTCCTGTTCTCAGGGACAGGGGTGGCTTCAGGGCCAGGACGTGGTCAGGAGTGGACGCCCCGTGGTGGACAGGAGAAGCCGCCCCCAGACTCCCAGTGTCCCCCGAGTCTCCTGGGCACAGGGGAGGCCCACGGCAGAGAGCGTGGCCACCGAGGGCCGGCGTCACAGGAGGCCCGGTGTCCCCTGAGCCAGGGACCGTGACACAGAGCAGCCCCCTGAGGTCACTCAGCTGAGAGACGGTCTCATGGCCAGGCCCTGGGGCTGCACGGAGCTCTCTTCCCTGAGCGCCATGGTGGAGGGACATCTGGAATGGACAGTCCATCACGGTCAGGTCCCTGCTCCCTGGCCACGCCCAGGGTCTCCTTGGGGACAAAGACCTGGGAGCCAGATGGACAGGCAGGTGGCAATCTGGGTGTGACGCTGCCCTAGCCCAGGGCAGATCCAGGGCGCTGTCCCCTGAGGTCCTCCTGCGTGTGACTGGTCAAGACGGCCGGATGCGTGTCCCTCGCTTTCCAGGAAGTCCTGACGGGGGCGGGCACCAAGGGCCCCGAATAACGTCACCGTGTATTAAAGAGGGACACGTTTTGCAGACGCTCGTCCCCGCAAGAGGTGGCCAGGGTGACCAGGTCAGCCACGGGGTCCCGGCCAATTATATTTTTCCCGATACTCGCTGAATCTCATTTTTCACAGAGATTTTTGTTTCATTTTCCAGAAACACATGTTAGATTCTCATGGGAGGGGACGGTGACGGATGTTCCTGCCCAGTTGCAATGTGTCGTGCACACAGCTGGTGCTCCATATTTGCATCTTCGATATTTAAACGGCTTTTGAGTGACATTAGATGATTCCATCAATATTAATTTTTTTGGGGGGGGCACCTGGGATTGAACCGCGGGGTGCGTAGTGACTCAGCCACGTCCCCAGCCCTTATTTATTTTATTTTTTTTAAATTTAGGGACAAGGTCTCTTACGTTGCTCAGGGCCTCTCCAAGTGGCGGAGGCTGGCCTCCAACTTGCCATCCTCCTGCCTCAGCCTCCCAAGCCGCTGGGCTCCCACGTGGGCACCACCAAGGCCAGCGAATATTCAAATGATTTTTTTTTTTTTATTAACTTGACCTGGTTTGGGGTATTTTCAAGGTTCCACGTGGCACATTTTTACCTGTTTTCTTTTCTTTTTTTGAAAAAATTCGTTCTCATGAGTTAGACAGGACACGACTTTTAATGTTCAAAGGGAGCAATGACCCCTATGGGATCCCAGGACACCTGGACCATGTCCCTGTCCCTCGATTTTTTTTTTTTTTTAAGAAGAGCTTTGGGTGGACACATTCATATTTGGTCGCATGCACGGGGACGCCCTGGGGTTTCCCCTCCAGGACTCTGGTGGGCCTGACCACATCAGGGGGATGGGTGGGCCTTGGTCCCCCCACGTCCTGCGCGGAGCTCTTTGGAAACGCAGCGCGCGATCTCACGGGCTCCGTGTCCCCCGAGGGACACCGCAGACCGCCAGTGGACCTCGGGGTGGACACGCAGCGAGCCGGGCGCCAGCGGGACAGAGGCCACCGGACCTCACGCAGAGGCAGGAGGCCCAGCGGCTGCAGGGGCAGCGGGGAGTGGACCGTGGTCACCAGGGCTGCAGGGAGCGAGGCTCGGGAGGGAAGGAGGACGCCCAGGGAGGAGTCCCGACCTCCAGCTGGGAGCCAAAGGCCTTCCTCGTGCCGCGTCCTGAGACCCTGGGGGAGCCCAGGTGGGCGGGGCCCTTGATGGACAGGCCCGGCTCCGCCCTGCGGTTTGATGGACAGGAGAGGGGGCGGGCCCCGGCTGCAGGGTGCGCCCTCCGCTGCCGGCCTCTGCGCTCCCCGGGGAGGCCCTAAGGACCTCAGTGAGACCTGCCCAGAGCCGTGACCCAGCCAGGCCCGGAGATGGACAGCCCCCCGCCCTGTCCCCCGACCCAGGCTCTCAGGGACAGGAAGGCGACCTCCTCCTGCACGAGACCCCGGAGGGAAGGGCTGGCTCAGGGCCGTGTGCAAAGCTGCAGGGAGTCTAACCTGCGTGTCTGCTGCTGCTGGGAAACGAGAAATGGTGGACCCCAGGGCGCTCAGCCCCTGAGCCACATCCGGGTCCTTTTTAGATTTTTTTTTTTTTTATTTTGAGACCGAGTCTCGCTAAAGTGGCTGAGGCTGGCCTCCAACTTGGGATCCTCCTGCCTCAGCCTCCGGAGCTGCCGGGAAGAGGCTCGCGCACCACCGCGCGTCCAGCTTGTTGGTCTCTTTCCAATGCACAGAATCCAGGAGGCTGAGCCCACGGAGACGGGGCACCCCTGGGCGCGGTGACTTGTCATTTCTAACGTCCCCGTTGATGTATCACAAGTCACACGTCCCACATGTCACAGCTCATGAGTAATTTTTTCCTGGGCCACGTGTCACTTCACTGGCCATAAAGATAAGGGGAGGCTCGTCTCCGTGGAAAGACCAGAGTCCAGCTGGGAACGCTGCGGGCTCCTTTTTCACGCCTGTCTTGTGATCCCCAGGGGGCACCTGCAGTCCCCAGGGGCCTGGCTCTCTCAGAGCCTGTCCCAAGGCCCCAGTGAAGCCCAGAATCTACAGACTGAGGGTCCCCAGCCAGGAAGTCCCCTGCCCAGGTCGTACCCTGGTCCCCGTGTTTCCCGGCCACGGCATGGTCTCAAGGCCTCTCCCAGTTGCTCAGGGGGAGCACTCAACAAATCCCTGAGGGATTCTGGGAATTGGCTGCCCCTTCTCACGGCGTACACCCTGCAGGGTGTCCCAGGTGCACCGACGATGACTGTCCCCTCTCGTCTCCCGCTTCTTCTCCCTGTCCCCATGAAGCCACCAGGTGTCACTCACGAGGGCCCCATGTGTCCCCTCCCGCTGCCGTTGAGAGGGACGCGGGGACCACTGACAGGCAGAGGCCCCAGCCCCGAGCTGGTGACCCGCCCGAGCCAGGAAGCATGACACGGGCGGGTGACCCGGTTATCTCGCCCCGAAAGGGGATGTGGGCAAACCCCCGAGCCAGCTCCGCGGCCCAGAGTGACACCCAGGGTGACATCCAGGGTGACAGCTGGCGCCTCCCGTCTGCATCCGCGACTGGGGGCACGGGAGACCCTGGTGACCCCCGAGGGAGGCCCCTGCGGGCGCTGACCCCAGGGACCAGACGGAGGTGACCGTGCAGCGAGCCTTATCAGGGCCTTTGCCGCCGAGCGACCCGGTGGCCGCGGTCCCCTGGAGACCTGCGTCCCGGACGCGACCCCCGAGGACATCGAGCGCCAGACGACAGCTGCGTCCCCGAGTCGCCGCCTGCGGAGCCAGGTGAGGGGACCCGCCCGGAGCTGAGACGCTCTGCTCTTGGGGTTTTGCACGGTCGACAGGGAGCCCAACAGGGCGCAGCCCGGGGGACAGCAAGGGCCAGGTGTGGGGGGCACAGGGTCACCCCCAGAACCCCGCACACTCGCACACACACCAGGACCCACCAGGGGCCGCCACAGGGAGGGCCCAGACAGGACCTTGACCCCAGGGGTCAGCTCAGGGAAAGTCCTGCCTTGCATAAAACCCCAGAGTGGACAGTGGACAGGGTGGCCCGGGTAGAGGCCATGCCCAGATGGCCGTCTGGCATCCCATCAACCCCTGTGTAAGGACGTCCTCGGGCCCTGACGGGCTTGGTCTGAAAGGCCTCGACTGATTAGACGCGGCCCACCCGCGTCGTGCAGGGTCCGCAGCGTCCGCTGATTGAAACGCTCGACTCCGGAACCAAAAAAACCCAGCACTTTCCGTAGCTGATGCTTTGCCAGATGCCTGGGTCCTGGCGCCCAGTCGATCGGAGCACCTAAAAGTGACCGCCAGGGCTCTCGCCAGAGTTTGTGAGGCTGTCGCAGGACATGCCCCGAGATGGCTATCGGAGACGATGGACACCTATAGTCCTGGAGGCTGGGGGTCTGAGGTCCAGGCTGGGCAGGGCCGGCTCGTCCCGAGGCCTCTCCCCTGGGCTGGCAGCCGCCGTCTTCTCCCTGGGTCCTCCCGGACCCATTGCCCCATACACAGGCACGTGCCAAGGTCCTGGGGCCAGGGCTGCGGCAGGGGCATCAGACAGGACACAGTCCAGCCGTCCCCCACTAGTTTTCGGGGACCTCTGTGGTTTGCATGAGGGGAGGACACGCCGCTGACCCACAGTGTCCCCTCTGGGCATGCAGGTCCAGTCATGGCGGCTCTGTGGGCGTCAGCGTGGCTCTTGATGCTCGTCCGTCCGGCGCTGGGTGAAGGACAGCAGCCCCTGGGTGCGTAGGGCAGGGTCTCCCGTCGGGGTTGGACCCAGCGGACCCCGTGTTCAGTGGTGGCGGGAGACAGAAGGCCCCCGAGAGCCCCAGAACCAGCCCCCGGCGCTCCGCGAGCAGGGTCCCCGCTAAGTGTCCATCTCCTGCAGGGACAGCTGGGGAGAGCGCCTCTCCGGTCCTCAACCTGAAGCTCGATCCACGGAAGAAAGTGCTGACGTGGCGTTACAGCAGAGAGGTGACCCAGCACTCCTGCAGGATCGTCACCCCCCTGGCCCCGGCCACCAGCACCAGCCCTCGGGTAGGTGGCCAGGGCCGGGGGCCCACGGATTGCCCAGGACGGGAAGG